CCGCAAACTGATAAATGTAATGTGAGGAAGCGGAGCCGGGCGGAGCCCTGCCCCCCGCTGGCTTGAGCTGCGCCCTCCCCCTCCCCTCCGCCACGCCCCAGGCAGGCCGCTTCCCGGAGAAGCTTGACCAGGCGGCTAGAAGCGCACAATAATAAACAAGATGGGGCGACACTCCCCGTACGCCACTCTACTTCTACTTCTGCTCGTCTCGTCCCCGCCCCTGCTACCTCTGCTAGCTCCGCCCGGCTGCCGCGCCTGAAACCGACAGATACCGCACTAACGCGTCAGTGGCGCGCGTGCAGTGTCTTGAAGCCCGACGCGCAGCCGCAGCCGCCACAACGACGACCGCGGCCTCCTCCCCGAGTCCGTCCGTCCCCACCTACTCGACGACCAGGACCAGAGTGAAGCAGAAGCCGTGAACATGAGGCGAACGGCGCTCCTGAGGACGCGGCCCATCGCCATCGGTGCCCAGGCAAGCCAGCATTGTTTTAAACAACGATTGCAACCAATCCGGTTAGCAGCCGAGATGATTGATGAAGGATAAATGAGTACCCGTTTGGAATAGGCTCCGGCGGTGCGTTTCCGGTCTTCCATGACGGCGACCGCGACTCCGACGCTTGCGACCGACGAGGAGGTGAAGCCCTTCTCCGAGGTCCCGGGGCCCAAGCCCCTGCCCGTGCTGGGCAACCTCTGGAGGTTCTTCCCCGGAGGTGAGTGTCAGAAGCGGCTCCTGTTCGTAGAGCTGGCGCACCGAACATTTCGGCTTTCGCTGCTTGCAGGCGACTTTGCCGGTGTCGCGCCCTACGACATCCCCGACACGCTCGTCCGGCGTTACGGGCCTATCGTCAAGCTGGAGGGGATGCTGACTGACACCAAGCTGTTTGTGGCGGACCCAACAGCGGCGCAGCAGGTACTGTCGTGTAGTTTGTTGAGCAAACATTGTGTCCGTGCCTTGATGAGTGTTATTTTCGGTTATTTTTGTCTGTTGGGCAGATATTTCGTACTGAGGGCCAGTGGCCGATTCGAGAGGGAATTTCCAGTATTGACTACTACTACAAGAACTACAGGAAAAACCTGCAGTTCAGTCTGGGAACAGCGTGCGTCTATTTCCACTTCTGCTCAACAAAGATCTTACACCAATGCTGAAAATATACGAGTATTATCTTTTCACAGAAATGGAGAGGTGTGGCAAAAGTTTCGTTCAGCTGTCAATCAAGTTGCTGTGCAACCGAGAAATGTTAAAGTGTATGTAGAACCGATCAACGCGGTCGCTGAAGAATTCATTCAAAGGTATGCGAGAGTGATGCATCTATCTGAATTTACTCTGAGTTTACTGGGTTATTGTCTTCAGTACGAAATTGCATTTGCTTTTCATTTAGGATGAAATCGATAAGAGACGCTAATCAGCAGATGCCAGATGACTTCACGACTGAGATTAAGAAATGGGCTGCCGAATGTAAGACACCTGCGCGGACACCTGACAATGTATACACAATTTAACTAACTCGTTGAGTCCCGGGGGATGTGAGGAGCGGGAGCCTCTGCTGCTCTGCGACTTTTTATGACCCAAGTGTCGGAGGTGGTAGAATACCACTTTTTGAGATAAGCACACAATGTGCTCACGAAAGTAATTTCCGACTACCAACGCCTTCACAAATTTGCAGATTTTATTGATGTTTTATTTAATCCATAGCGATCACCTATGTCGCCCTGGACACGCGGCTGGGGATGCTGGAGAACAACATCCACCCAGATTCGGATGCCGGCCGCCTCGTGGAGCTCGTGAAGAACACCTTTGACGCCATGGCAAAGCTCGAGTTTGGGCTCTCCCCCTGGAAGTACATCTCTACGCCAACCTGGAGACAGCTCAAGTCTTCCATGGACACCTTCACGGAGTGAGTGCGGGCAGCAACGGGTCGGACCAGGATACGAATTCTGGTAAACCCTATACAGTAAGGAGAACTCACACGTCAAACGATCCGGTTTCCGTCGAGATAGCGAACAGTTGTGAAAACGATCGACAAGCGCGGCAGTTTTGGGGCACATTTCTCCTTTATCTCACCCCACTGTTCGGGCTTCCCGCGCTTCCGAGCCTTCCCTCCCACCCACCCACCAGCGATACCCCGCGGCCGACTCGCGGCGATACTCCAAGCCCAGGCAGCGGGGTGTAGCTACGGGGGCACCTTTTCATGTTCACGGGACGTTCCCGATGACTCCAGGATGGCGACGAGGCACGTGAACGAGGTGGTGGACCGGCTCTCCAAACTGTCCGAGGAGGAGATCGCCTCGCGCCAGTTCAGCGTCCTGGAGCGGCTGCTCGTCAACAGCCACGACTCGGACAAGGGCGTAGCGTTCGCGCTGGACATGATGCTGGCCGGCATAGACACGGTGAGTCCGTCGACGGCCAAGTAGTGACCCGCAGGCTGGTGCTGATCCCCTATGACGCTTACCTGCGCTCTTCTCCCCCGCAGACTGCGCACCAGACGTCTTCGTTGCTGTACTTCCTGGCCACCCACCCGGAGCAGCAAAGGGCGCTGCAGGCCGAGCTGGACCGCGAGTGGGAGGCGGGGCAGCCTCTGACGGCCAGCGTGCTCGAGAAGCTCAAGTACCTGCGCGCCTGTATCAAGGAGGCCATGCGCCTGCAGGCCGTCGTCACCGGCATCCTGCGCACTGCCAACCAGGACGTTGTCCTCAACGGCTACCTCATCCCCAAAGGAGTGAGTATCGGGAAACGCTCAGCAGATCGACCAGCTGCTGAGGCACATTATGGGCATTAATACGTTTCCGCGTTCCAGACCCACACCATCGTGTGCACCAAGACGATGTGCAGGGACGAGAGGCTGGTGCCCCGGGCTTCCGAGTACCTCCCCGAGCGCTGGCTGCCCGGCCAGGAGCAGCTCAAGCCCAGACACGCCTTCGTCAACATCCCGTTCGGCTTCGGCCCCCGCATGTGCGCGGGCAAGAGGTTCGCCGATCTGGAGATGGAGGTGTTGTGCGCCAGGGTGAGCGAAGTGGGACTGGGGCCTTCCGCTAAACAGGGCTGCACGTTGGGTTGCCTATCGCCAGGGCGTACGTAGCTGCGCACCCTACGGGTCCGTAACACCGTCTCTGTTGCAGCTGTTCCGCTCCCACAACCTGGAGTGGCACCACCCGGAACCACAGGTGGAGCAGAAACTCTTCGTCCAGTACTCCAGCCCGCTCAAGATCACCATGAAGGAGCGGTAGTCTCCATCCAAAGCTCGTCGGAGAGGGTCGAGCGCGATCACATTGTGATAATGGATGCCAACTAGGGTGACCTAGCCCAGCCTCACCCCTTTGCGTCCGGCTGCTGTGCACTGTGGCCTTAAATGTGCCGAACAGAACATTAGGTGAGCAGCAACGTGTTCACTGGTGTTCTTTGGTTACTGACAAAGCAAAGTATTTTTAGTTTTAAGTGGAACGGAGGAGCTTGGGCCTTTGTAAAACGTAATAAGCACCACTACGTATTTAATATGACTGCCATAGATTTTTAATGGTACTCTTTTAGCCTGAGTGCACCCTGCGAATCCCCAGTTGTTGCCTAGCCGCCAGCATTCGGGCACCCTGCCTACTCGGCCCGCGGTTGGGTCCAAGAGGTACAGGCGGCCGCGGCTACCAGCTGAGCGACCGTCTAGAAATAGAGGCACGGGCCTTCTGTCTGCAAGTCCGCGAAGGCGAGGGAGGGGAGAAGGGCTGGCAGCTTGTTGCGCCCCAAGACAGAACTGAGAAAGAATTTGGAGGCGAAACGTGAGACTCGCGAGAAGACGCCCTAGGAGGATCGACCCACCCCCCCCCCTGCTCGGACGCGGGCTGGTTGTTAAATTTTTCCATTGGTTTAAATGATTGAGGGTAGACAAAAACACTCGAATAACAACGTCTAAATTTATTTAAAAGAACAAAAATATGTCACATAAGAATGCTATACATTGAAAAATACAAAACAGTCAAAAAAATATCCATTAGAAACCATTTTTTAGGATGGTTAAGGGTTGGACGAAAAGGTCATAATTCTGGAAAAATAAACATAGTCCTGGAATATAGGGAGGGGTCAATTGTTCTAGAGTCTACAAATAACAGACAACAAATAAAAGTTCGCATCTCTAGCAAATAAATCACTGGTGAAAATGCTAAAAGCAGACTTAATTCCTATGCGAAACATTGCACATATTTAACGCGGCCGACTAGGTTGTCTACAGTTTACAGGCAGTAATACTTTAAATTTGCTACGAGGTCATCCAGAATCAGAATTATCACTAATACAAATTGACGATCGAAAGTCGTGACTAAAATTTTAAGCAAACTGGGCTCGTACGGATTTCATCAGTAAAGCTAATGTAGCTTCATAAAATCTTACAAATATACCATTCAAACCAAAATGCATTCTTCAACAAAACAACAGACTGTCCGTTCCTATATCCATGTCCGTTAGGCGCTTAAATTATTATTAATAATGCCAACATAGACGTACGGTTATTAATACTTTTAAAGTACAAATAAATAAATAATTTGTTTGCACCATAGCGGCCACATGTGGGTTAGCTTCTCATTTTTGATGTACTTTTTTTTCTTGCACCCTACGCGCTGAGCGGCCCGGTCCAAAGGGCTCGCAGGTAGCTCATGTAAGTCCACTGCTTCAAACGTAGAGACGAACAAGCAAGTGGCGGCGGCAGGCGCGCAGGGGCGTGGCGAGGCGTGGCGGGGCGATGCGGGGCGCGGTGCGAGGACAGGCGGGGCGGGGAGGGCGCCTCAGTGGGCGATGGGGATCATCTTCTCCGCGGGCCCGAGAGCGTTCTGGGGCAGGGGGGCCTCCACGGTGAGGACGCCGTCCTTGCTCAGGGACGACTTGATGGACTCGGGGTTGGTGCCCTTGGGCAGGAGGAACTCTCGGTTGTATTCACGGTACACTGATTTGCTGTCCGTCTTCTCCTCGTGCTTGGCGTGGACCTGCGACAAAAAGAAAGAAAAAGGTGCGGGTTAGTCAGAGTCCACTGAGGTTGTCCGTCCAATCCCACCGGGACTGAAAAGAGCTCCAACAGCCACCCTCCAGCCCCTCCAGACAGCCCCTCAGGGAGGCTCGTTAGAGTGGTCGTCCAGCCCCCCAGCAACGCTGCGTGGGAGCGCAAGCGGGCGCAAGTGCACTGCGGGTGCGGGAAGGACTGCAGCATCATTGAGATCTGAGGTGGGAGGAGGGAGGTCGGGCTCAATTTGTAGCGGCGCCGTAAAAAGATCCCAACAAGTTACACGACGAAAGAGCCACAGTAAGGGGCGCAAAATGACGGGGGGAGAAGGGGAGAGAGAGAATCACGCAGAGAGAAATGCTAATGCAATACCAAAGCCCCCCCCCCCCTGGCCACTTCGCCCTTCGTTTAACCCCCATAAAACTGTCCCTGCCGCCCTGAAGCGGGCCATTTGTGAGTAGTTATTATCAGACATTCCCAGCCGCCTCTGTCGGCCCATGGCTCCGCCCGGGCCCCTCGGCGCCCAGCGCCCAGCAGGACAATACGTGAACGGAACGCCCGTCCTGTCTGTCTGTCTGTCCGCCTGCCGGGCGCGGGGGCACGCCGCCTGCAAGGTCACACTCACACACACTCACACACACACTCACACACGCGCACGCACGCGGCTTCTAGATCGATGCGACCATACACAGGGCCCGCCCGCGCCCACCAGACTAACTCGACGGTGGCGACACGGACGACACAAGCCAGAGAAAAAAATGATATAACAATATTTTCAGTCAGTTTTGAAGGACCGACAATGAGGCAGTCATAGGAACATGGTCGGGAAAAGACGGGCTGAAGAAAACCAAGCCATTACAAGAAGGAAGAAAATAACGCAGAGCAGGAGGGGGAAAAGGTGGTCGCAGTTAGGAGGCATCCCCCAATGAGGGTGGGCCGCCGGGGTCGGGGTTTGGGGTGAAGGGGGGCTGAGCGTAGATTGGGAAAGGAAAAGTTAGGGGTAGCGGTTAGGGCGGCGGGGGGCTCGATTGCGGCGAGGAGGGCGCTGCTCCGCCGCGGTGTGGGCCCCCCGCCCTCCCCCTAACCCCCAACCGACTAACAACGACGTTCCGCTACGTTACTCCCCGGCGTTCCTCCATCCCCCGGGCTTTCGCAGCGATGCCATCAGCACCTTAACAGCCGAATGGAGGCCCCCTCCCCCCGCTGCAGCTCCAGGACCCAATTGCCTGTCTAATCGCCGCTCACCGGGAGGGCGCCGCCGCTACCGCAGTGCCGCTCCGCACAAGCAGCCCTTATGTATGGCCTCGTGATCCCCCATCCCCTCCTCCCTCTTCCCCTTCCCGCAGCCGCCCACGTGAAAAATGTCTCCGTGTGAAGGAGTGTGCACGTGTGTGTTAGGGGATGCTTCATGTTCCCAAGTGACGTCCTGGTCACAAACCCCCGGGCTTTGTTTACAACCGCAAACCTCAATCTTCATCCCTTTCTCTCTCTTTTTAATTACAGCCTGCATTTCTCCGTCTCTCTCTCCCTCGCACGCGCCCTATTTCATCCAGTACTTCCTCTTTCCCTTTTCCCGCAGGGCCGTCCGTCCTTGTAATCTTAACCAGCGGCCTGCCAAGCCAAAGGGAAAGAAGAGGAGGAGGGGAGAGGTTCGGGGGGGGG